TAAAAGAGACAGACAGCTTTGGACGTGCTCACCAGTCTGTGCCAGGAAATTTGGAGGATAGATACCTTTCTGACTGACTGGAAGATATCTATATTTGTTCCCATTCCAAAGGAAATGAAGGTGATCCTACAGAATGTGGAAGTTATTGAATAATATCACTAATGTCAGATGCAAGCACAAATTGCTGAAGACCACTTTAAAAAAAATTACTAGAACAATACATAGACAGAAAACTTCAAGAAGTTCAGGCTGGGTTTAGAAAAGGCTGTGGACCAGGGATATCATTGATGATGTCAGATGGACCCTGGCTAAAAGTAAAGGATACCAGAAGAATGTCTATATGTGCTTTATTGGCTATCCAAAAGCATTTGATTGTGTGGATCATAACAAATAATGGTTAACTTTGAAAAGAATGGGAATCCCAGAAAAATTAATGAGAGAAAAATTACATGAGAGAAGGTTGGACAATTTCCTCCTATGCCATTAACTGCCTCTGGAAACCTGCAAAAGGGTCGGCTATGGGTTGGTTCTGAGTTGATGGTCTACAATACGCGAAACTTACCTTGACCAAGAGGCTGTTGTGTGAACAGAACACAGGAACACTAAATGGTTTAAAATTAAGAAACTGTGTGTCAGGACTGTATCCTTTCTCTATACTTATTCGATCTGTATGCTGAACAAGTTATTTGAGAAGTTAGACTTGATGAAAAATAATATGGCATTAGGATAGAAGGAAGATCCATCAACAACTTGCATGATGCAGTTGTCACAACCTTACTTGCTGAAAGTGAGAAGGACTTGCACTTGCTACAGAAGATAAAAAACTATAGCCTTCAGTATGGATTACATCTCAACATCAAAATAACAAAAGTTCTCACCACTGGACTTACAGGCAATATGATAGATGGAGAAAAGATTGAAGCTGTGAATGACTTAATCTTCCTAGGATCCACAATCAACCCCTTGGTACCAGCAGTCAGGACATCAGGAGATGCATTGCACTGGGAGAACCTACAGTTAGAGACTTCTCCAAATTATTGAGGAGCAATGATATCAGTTTGAGGACTAAGGAGTGCCTAATTCAGGTCATGGTCTTTTCAATCACTTGATATGTATCTGAGAGCTAGACAATAAATAGGAATGACAGAAGAATTGATGTCTTGAAACTGTAGTGTTGGAGTACTAAATGTCTCATGGACTGAGAAAAAGAATGAAAAAATTTTAAAAAAAGAATGAATAGACACATCTTAGAGAAAGAGCACCCAGAATGCTCTTTAGAGGCAAAGATGACAAAACTTCGTATCACATACTTTGGGTATGTAGCTAGGAGAGGTTATTCCTTGGAGATGGACACCATGCGTGGAAAAGTGAAGGGTTAGAGAAAGAGAAGACCCTCAACCAGATGGACTGACACAGTGACTGCGACATTGGACTCGCATGCCTGGGATGATGGCACAGGATAACTTGTTTCAGATCTGTTGTTCTTGGGGTGTTTATGAGTCGTACTCGACTCAACGGCACCTAACAACAACATCAAGATATTGCTTATTGATCTGAGGATTTTTGTCTGCTTGATGCTAAGATGCACTCTCCACAGAAAGTTGTAATCTTTGAACCTCCCATAGTACTGGGAGGAAAAAAGAAAATTGTCTTCTTATGGCTTGTTATAGGGAGCTCTGGTGGCCTAGTGTTAAGAAATCCTGAAAGAAATCACTGCAATCCTGAAGGTATACAGTTGGAATCCATCAGCTGCTCCACAGGAGAAGGATGGACAATCTCCTCCTGAGCCTCTGAAAACCCGATGGAGGGTCAGCTATGGGCCAGTTCCAAATCGACGGTACACAACAACAACAGCATGGCTTCGCTACCCATCTTCACTATCACCTACAGCCCCAACCATTCATTCTTCCACTCTGCCTTCATTCTGTTCTTCAGAGGCCTTTGTTTCATTCTCAAGGATTTATACCTTTCTCCTTTGGGCTCAAGTTTCTTTCACTATATTTTTTCATTGACATGTTTTCACTACATACAACTTTCTATTCCAAACTGTTGCTTATCAGAGAGTTCTTCTTTGCCTCAACAACTTGCAGTTACTCTCTACCTGTAACAGTGATTGTCTGTTCATTGCTTTTCCCATCAACAAAAGTATGTGTCCTTTGATGGCTTAGTGGTAAAGATCTGCACTTCAAACTGCAAGACAAACAGTTCAAATCTTCCAGCTGCTCCTCAGGAGAAAGATAGGCAATCTTCCTCCTTTGTAATTTACAGCCTCTGAAAATTGCTAGAGGGTCACCTGTGGTGGATGTAATAGCTTATAACAACAACAACCTGAAACTAAGACTTTGTCATATTCTTTAATGTGTGTCCTGTGCCTAGAACCTTGGTTGGAATTGAGTACTGGTTGAATGAACAGTAAACAGGGAAAAACGGAAACAACTCAAATATCTTAAAGATGATTTTAATATCTTAACATAAAGGCATACAATTTAGTCCTTTGTCCTTGAATGGTTCAAAATTGGGAAGGGTGTGCGTCAAGGATGTGTTCTCTCTCCATATCTTTTTAATCCATATGTGGAACAGATTATCCAGGAAGCTGGGCCCTGTGAGGAAAAGTGTGGCATCAGGATTGGAGATAGACTCATCAACATTCTGCATTATGCAAATGCCACAACCCTGCTTGTTGAAACTGAGGACCTGAAACATTTGCTGAAGAGGATCAAGGACTGCAGCCTTCAATATGGATTGAAGCTCAACATCAAGCAAACAAAGATTCACACCACTGGGCCAGTTGACAGCATCATGATGGATGGTGAAGAGAGTGAGATTGTCAACAGCTTCAGTTTGCTTGGCTCTACAGCCAGGAAATGAAAAGATAAACTGCATTGGGAAAGTCTGCTGTCAGAAACGTCTCCAAGGTACTGAGGAGTAACAAACTCAGTCTGGAGATTAAAGTGAGTCTGATATAGGCCAGGGTCTGCAATTACTTGCTATGCATCAGAGAGCTGGACAGTGACTAAGGATGATAGAAGGAGAGTTGATACCTTTGAGCTGTGGTGCTGGAGAAGAGTATTAAATATACCATGGACTGCTAGAACAAACAAGTTCATCCTGGAGAGGGTGAAGCCAGGCTGCTCCTTGGAGACAAAGATTCTGAAGCTTCATCTGGCATACTTTGGACATGTTGCAAGTCAAGACCAGTCCTTGGAGAGGACCGTCATGCTTGGGAGAGTGGAGGGACGGCACAGGAGAGGAAAAGCCTCAATGAGATGGATTGATTCCATCACTGGGGCAATGAGGATAGGCATGTCAGAGACAATAAGATTGGCAAGAGATAGAGCAGGCTTTAGGGCTGTTTGTACAGAGGCTCACTGTGAGTCACAAACGACTCAATGGCACATAACAACAACAACAACAACAACAACAACAACATTTCTATGTGAATGAAGAATAGTGTGAAACAATGTATTCAATCTTTGTAAGCACACCAATATAAAATAAAAGAAGAAGTGGGGGGGGGAATCAATCAATTTGATCTGTGATTGCCAGTACTTATACCTTTGGGGAGAATCAAATGAAAAAATGATTATTATGGCACAGAACAACAACAACAACCACAGCAAAGAACTCCCTGGTGGTGAAGTGGACTGCTTATCCAAAGGTTGGCATTCAAACCTACCAACCAACCACTCTGTAGAAGCAAGTCTATAGAGGTTTATGGCCTGGAAAATTCTTGCTGTAAACTGGAATAAAATTAATTAACAGGAGGAGGTCAAACTCTACATTCTGAAACAAAAGGCTATTCATGGCAAGTTTGTAAGCCAATAAAATAAGTTATAGAAGATACAGAAGAATCTCTTTATGCAATAAAAGCCTTTTATGAATCCAAATTCTTGATTCTAGAAAAAGACTCATAAATTAGAACTTGAAACTTTTAAATTATTATATCATTTTTATTTTAAAGTACATTATACATTATTATATTCGAACGATTTCTTTTTACTAAAACAAGAGGATAATCAAAATGAGTGTTCAATAACATCTGAAAAAGACATAGATATTCATATAGTGGGAAATGTTCTTAAAAAAAAGACAAATTTTCTTCTTTTTAAATTTCTTTTTCTCAGATTCATAGTTCAGTATCCAACAGACTAGTTCTTTTTCCTGTATTAGCTGTCACTTTCACACTTCCAAACTGGCTGAATATTTCCAGATCAACAATGTGTAAAAAGCATAAACTTCAAAGAACGATGTTATTCTTAGGTTAAACTTCCAATGTCTTGGGATTCAAGGTAGTGTCACCTATTCTAATGCAATAGTTTTCAAAGGATTGTGAAAAGGCAGATGGTATATAAAGTTCTTTTTCTGGTGGACATAAAGGTGTGGACAATATTGAATCAGGTAATAAAATCCCAAATACCTTGTCACTACTTTAGGCTGGTAAAAAAAAAAAAAAGAAAGAAAGACCAAGAGAAAAATTTCCCAATGTTAAATCTCATTACTAGAGAAGTAATCATGCCATGAAGCCATGCAGCTGCCTGGTCAAACTTGATTTCTAACCCTTAGTTTGCATTGTTTATTTGGTATTCTATGACCTGGCTACAGATTGCAAAGCTTTCTTGAGAACAGTTTTAAACCTTTATGTGAACAAATTCTCATTGTATTTACCATCAAGGAGGCATCTTCTGCCAGTTTTTAAAGGCGAAGAGATAAAATAAAGCATCTGAAGGGAAAATGACCTTTTCAGCATGCTTACGAAAGCCAAGAAGTTTTTAAAAAGCATAACATTTTAAGAAAATGTATTTGACTATTAAAACTGTGTCGGCTCTTGAGAAAATGGAAAGGCACGGTAATTAGTCTTATTCATTTTACTTCTGCTAATGCCAAGCCAATATTCTTAGGATTAACAGCATGAAAAAATGTGAAGGAAAGCGTCTAAGCATTAATTTGAACTTAGATTTACATTATTATGGCAGAAACATCTTTGACTGGAGCTCACTTATTCACTTCTTTTTGATTTTGTGGCCAACCACTGCTTCAAACTGAACATCCTGGACATGATTTATAGCTGCCAAGGCACGTTCAGGCAGAAATCTGTGGAAAAAAAAAAAAAAAAAAAGACGGTAAGTTCTCAATTTAAAACCATTGACACCACAATCCTTTTTCATTGCCAGGTAAAATATCCCTAGAGTGTTTTACATTTAATTTTCCTTCTCTTCTTTCTGTTTGTCCTTTGCACCTCTCTCTTTCTATCCTTTTTTAAAGTGTCTTTTTTCTTATTATTAATTTTAATGAAAATTTACAGAGATTTTGGATTTCCATTCATTCATTGTTGCACTTTTCTCCCTGCCCACCCCTACCCTCCCCAGTTTACTCTTTGAAAAATAAAATAAAAATTATTCATTGCTATACAGTTGGTCCCCCTAAGTCCACTCCACTATGCAGCCTTCATTCTGGACTCCTGTCATGACAATAATACCTAATCGTATATCTCTTTTAAACAGTTCTCTTTCTCTCATCTGTTTCAATGCAGTATACATAATTTATTCCATCTTTCCCAGTCTCCCCTACCCCAACCCCTATGTCAGTCCCATTTTACAACAGTGGCACTAGACAGTGTCTTCTTAAAAATTTCATAGTTCAGATTATATGTAAAGACAAAGAAAGCACTAACATACAGCAGTCTTTCCACCTTCTCATATTATTTAAGTTAAAATCTTCTCTAATACCTTATACAAGTAAAAATCTAAAATTGAAGATTTCGGGCACCAGAATCCATATTTCCATTTCTGCTCAAGTAATCACTGAGTATGGATTATGTATTCTGTATGAAGCTAAAACAAAGTATTTGAAAACTGTCAGCTCAGAGGAGTGGATTGTTCAGCTGAGAGACTAAGATGACTCTCCTGAAACAATTAAAGAAAAGTATATGTCATCTATTATGAAAGGCTATAAAATATGAAGAGAAATAATGTGGGCTGGAATAGTGAAGAAAAGCTTCAAAAAACAAATGGCAGAAGAAAATGAAAATAAGATTAAATGATTGCTAAAAGGAGTGTGAGTGAATAAAAAAGGTCAGAAATAAAGTTTTCTGCAGAGAAAATGAGTGTGGTACTGTAAACTACTAAAAGATTTATTTACCTGGCTTAAGGCAGTGGAGAGTGAGAGAGTGGGAGAATAAACTCAGGGAAGATAGGACTGGGAGTAGGGTAAGAGAATTTGCTAGCCATTTAACTATACTGAAAACATACATATATTATACTCTCCTTATACTAAATCTATTACACTATAGTGGAAGAATGAAATGAATGCAGCAGTGGAGATTGTTCTGTGTCCTCAAATTGTTCTATTCAAGTTTATGAGCATTGCATTTTAAAAAGGTCCAAGGCTTATGAAATTATACAGTTGTCTGTTCATAAAAAAAATATTTAAATATTTTAAACCTCTCTCAGAAGAAAGCGGAGAAATCTCTTTCTGGAATAAAGAAGTTGAATTCCTCTTATAATTTCATATAAATCCTACTTCCTCAATCTATAAGAAACAAAACAAAGGTAGCTCTGGGTTGCACTGCTAACCTGAAGGCCACACCTCTCTGGCAGTTTGAATCCACCAGCCTCATCTCTGGAGAAAGAAGAGCCATCTCCTCCTATGTGATTTACAGCCTTGGAAAACAAATGGAGGGCCAGCTATGAGTCAGTTCCAACTCAATGGTAAAGTTTAGAGTCGAATGTCAATGTTACTTGTGTTCTGCTATTGTAACCTTCATGCAACCTGCAGGAATGAAGAATTATTACCACCAAATATCTGTTATACACAGGTTCACTATGAGTCACAGGTGACTCGAAAACACAGAACAACAACAATAACAATTTTATGTATGGGAAATCTGAGGTTACAGAAGTTTAATAATTTGTCTGTGGTCACAGAACTTGCCAATGGTAGAGTGCAATGTTCATTCCCAAATACTTAACTATAGTGTCTCCATTTAAAATTGCCTTTCTTTTAGATTTTAGCTAAGACGGTAGGTGTGTGATAAAGAACAGAAGTAAAGTACTAAAAGAAAAATAAAATAATCAACTAAACTGTTTGAATAATTTAACAAATGAAAATGTTTTTCAAACACTAAGGGAAAATGAAGACCTTGTCATAAATTAAAAAAAAAATGGAGAAGAATTAATCAATAAAATATATGCATGTAAAAAAATGTAAATGTTGTTCTTCAGACAAGAGTGAAATGATGGTAGATAGAAATCTTAACTACATGGGGAAAATGAAGAGTAGCAGATTTAAAAAATCACTATACGGGTAACTAGATAATATTTTCTCAACTTTAATATACTAAAAGAAAATATAGTAAACAAAAATAATAATAATAATATTGTATAGGGCTTAAAAATATGTAAAAGAAAAATGTTAAACAAAAGCCTGTTGTTGTTAATTTGCCATCAAGTCGGAACTAATATCTGACCCTCCAGCAGGTTTATAGGGGCCATACATTACAAGGGGCAAGATTGTCCATCTTTCCGCCACAGAGCAATTTGAACCTTGTGCCACTGAGTTGGCAGCATAACTCTTTGCCACAAGGCCACAAGAGCTCCCTTTAAAAAAGCCTAGGAGTGAAGCAAAGGAAGTATATTATTATCATATAGTTCTCATATGTGAAATTTCATAGTATTACTTGAAGGGAAACTGTGATAACTTGGTGTATGCTATAATCCCTAAAGCAACAACTAAATGACAAAACAAAGAACATTTTACTAGCTAATAAACTAGAAAAGAATGGAAACATGAAAATATTCAGTTATGCCAAATTAAGGCAGGGAAAAAAAGTGAAAGAACAGATGGAGAAATATTGAAGGGTCCTATGGGCAAAATTTCGAAAGTAGAAGAGTATGGTCCATAACAGGAGTGAAATGTCTGGTGAAGAATCTGAAGAATTCACCCAGTGTCTGGCAAAATGAAGGTGATTTTAAAGTGCCCAGCAACGGCTGCTAGAGAGAACCTCCTTTTAGTTCAGAGTTTGAGCAATGAAGATCACAGATGTGAATTCTTCAATCTCTAATCAAGAGGGAGAAGTGTTTTAGTGCAAATCAACTACGCATGCTGCCGAGAAACAATAGCTGTTGAATATTGAACTGATCTTAATCCTATGGCAAATCCACAAAACCCTCCCTGCTGTCAATCCTTGAGCTTCACTCTCCTGCTAACAAAGCTCCTTTATTAGGCACCTTAACTGAAAAGTAGCCCCTAATAACAAAGTCTGTGGTCTGCTACGTGAATATTTCTGTGCCTTATCAATCTGGTTTTATCTGATTCTGTAGTGTTATATGAATATCCTTTCTGTAAAATGTAAACTTCAGGAGTTTTGGGTTTAGCTAGCTTGTCAACTGTCCAATTTTACCCCTCTTAACTATCAACTTTTCCTTTTTCTACAGCATGCTGGAATAAACTAAGAAAGAGAGAGAGAGAGAGAAAGGAAAAAAGAAGGAAGGGAGGAAGGAAGGAAGGAAGGAAGGAAGGAAGGAAGGAAGGAAGGAAGGAAGGAAGGAAGGAAGAATAATACATAAAGTATTATGGAAGGAAGTATTACATAAAGTATTACATAAAGGAAGATGTAATACATAAAGTCATTATACCAAAAATATTTGGTCAATGCTGAACCATTTCAGAAGGTAGCATATGATCAATTGTTGTTGTTGTTAAGTGCCCTCGAGTCACAGGCAACTCATAGCGACCCTATGAAAGAGAGTCCTTGATGCTTGGGTGCCTTTCATGCTCTCTCCAGGCTCATAGGGTTTCTGGAGGCAAGCTATTATGGAAGTGGATGCCACTCCTCCTTCCAACTATGATCAAAGTACATTGAAATTGTTGGAGAAAAGCAAGGTTCTAGTAGTTAACCTAATGCTTATTTTTTTTTAAATTTTATTATTTTGTGTGCTTGTACCGTCAAATTGGATCTGACTGATACAGGAGGAGATTGCCCTCCTTCTCCAGCAGAGCATCTGGTGGATTCAACAAGGCCACCAGAACTCCAACTGAATGCTTATTGAGATGTTTCAACAAAAATAAAGCAATCCTGGAAATTCATACATGTCTATGCCAAAAAATTTTTGAGATAGCTACCCGGCCAAGCAAATGTAAGAGATTAATATTTATACCCATTCCAAAGAAAGAAATTACCAAACAATATTATTCATGCTATAAATTATTGCTATTATGTATTATATTATAGAATTGTCATTTATTACTATTAATATTATATGCAAGTAAGATTTTGGTGAAGATAGTGTAAAAATTATTATAGCAATATATTCACAAGGAACTGTCATATATTAAAGTCAGACTCAGAAAAGGGTAAGGAACAAGGGATATTGTTGGTGATGTTACATCAATGTTGACTTAAATAGAACAGCAGAACAGATTATTGTTGTCATTATTGTCATGTTTTCTTGTAAGAGTCGAGATACATCCCATCCTGATTCTTCCTCATTAACATACGGAAATTGAGATATATAGAACACCATGAGGTGGAGGATTACTACCTCTGATAACAAAATGAAGGATAATAACACCACACTGGAAATCATTATTTAAAGAAGTGGGCTCATATGTTTGAGGGACACAGTTAAATCCATGGTAGGATCACTAAGAGTTGGAATTGACTTGAAGCCACATTATAACAACATGTGGTACTTACCTCTCTAATGTGAGCAAGAGATTGATGAATGATGGAACAAAAATCATTTTCTTGTTGGTAAGTATTCCATCTATCAGATTTCTTGCAACTTCTTCTGTTTCTAACACAGGCCACAGTCTGTGATTTAAAAAAAAATTAAAAAGATTTTAAAAAAACATTAAGTCAATATTAATTTTAAAAGGAAGGGATATTTAAATGATATTTAAATTGTAGGGATATTTAAAATTGTAATTTAATTTAAAAGGGATATTTAAATTGTAGAAATTTCAACTTTCATTTTTATAAAATCATAATTGGGATTCAAAATGTTCCCAGATTAAATTTCCTCCATACAGTGAAAGTTATATATGCAAAATCAAGATCCACTATGATTCTAAACAGAGAAAGGCTGAAAAAAATTTCCTTGTGAACAGGGACCAGACAAGGATGCCCACTGTTACCACTTCTATCCAATATTGAACTGGAAGTGTTTGCTATGGCAATATGCCAAGAGAAGGAAATAAAAGGAATCCAGAAAATGGTTAAAATATCACTCTATGCAGATGATATGATAGTATACCCAGAAAACCCCAAAGTCTCAACAAAAAAAACTGTTAAAGTTTGTAGGCCAATTTAGTAGAGTGGCAGGCTATAAGATCAATATCCAAAAATCAGAGGGATTCTTCTTCTGTAACAAAGAGAACTCAGAGAAGGAAATCAAGAAAGCAATTATCATTTACGATGTTGTTGTTGTTAAGTGCCATAGTGTCGTAGATGATTCATAGTGACTCTATGAACTAAAGACCTGAACACTTGTATAACTTTCATCGTTCCTCCAAGTTCATGGAGTTTCCAGAGGAAAACTATTTATGGAAGTAGATGCCACTCCTGCTTCTAAGCTTGTTTTAATCGGAAATTCCACCAAACACTGTCAACATGGGTAACCAGTATCACATTTGACACATCAGTGTCATAGTTTTTTTAGAATCATAACAACCATGGGATTACTTCTGTACAGCAAATGGACAGACCAGTGCTATACCACTTAGAAGAATGTTTGACCAAAACCAATTAAAACCAGAACCGAAAATCAAAACCTCTGTAGAGTCAGACTGCTTTAGAACACTCCCCACCAGGATTCTAAACCCCTGCTGGTGAAGGCCAAATACAATCAACTCATAGCCAGTGGCTCCTTGCCGGAAGGAACATGGTGGTGTGAGGGCAGGAATTGTGGCAAGCTTTTGGAGTTGAGTGCTTTTCGGGGCATGTGTTTGACGTGCAGGTTTGCTCTGTCCCTGGGAGCGAGGCAAGCTAAGCTTGGCCTAGGGTTTGAGTCAGGAGGCGGCCTTAAACCCAAAGGCAGTTGGGACAGGAGGAGGCCATGTTATTCCCGGTTGGCTCCTCCCGTGGTAACGGGTACCCATGGTGGACAGTGTTGGCTGGAGCTTCCCGACTGAAACAAACCTGGAAGCAGGAGCAGCATCCACTTCCGAATGGCTTGCCTCCGGAAACTCTATGTACGAACAGTGCTCAGGTCTTTCCTTCATACGGTTGCTATGAGTCATCTACGACTCGACAGCACTAAACAACTAAACAACAAACAACAACAACATAGCCAGTGGACAGTAAATGGTCCCAGAGTCTTACCAGGACCAAAAATCAAAACCTCTGTAGATTCAGACTGCTTCAGAACACTCCCTACCAGGATTCCTACCATTTACAATTGTTGTTGTTGTTATGTGCCATCGAGTCACTTGTGACTCATAGTGACCCTGTGTACAAGAGCCCGAAATGCCATTCTATCCTGTGATAGCCTCACTGTCTCAAACACACTCATTCCCACCTCTCCACTCACAGAATCGATGCATCTCATCCAGGGTCTTCCTCTCCTGCGCTGTCCCTCCACTCTCCCAAACATGATGTCCCTCTCCAAAGATCAGTTCCTCCTTGCAACATACCCAAAGTATGTCAAATGAAGCTTCAGAATCCTTGACTCCGAGGAGCATTCTGGCTTCACCCTCTCCAGGACAAACCTGTCTGTTTTCCTAGCAGTCCATGGTATATTCAACACTCTTCTCCAACACCACAGCTCAAAGGCATCAATTCTCTATTATCCCTAGTCACTGTCCAACTCTCTGATGCATAGCATGTAATTGAAAAGACTATAGCCTGAATCAGGCATACCATACAGCCTGATGTCATTGCTCTTCAGTACTCTTGAGAGGTCCCTCACAGCTGACTTTCCCAATGCAATTTGTCTCCTGATTTCCTGGCTGCTGTTACCAAGAGTGTTGACTGTGGAACCAAGTAAACTAAAACTG